GAAAGTGTTTTAAAATTTGTTTTCAAATAAAATTAAGGTAAATTTCTCAAAAAACTCTTCTATAGGAAGCAAAAGTTATGTCAAACGAATCATTATTACATCCGCATTTGATGTCATGTAACATAAATTAAACTCTTAAAACATCACAAAAATATTTCTAGCACGTAAAATCTTCAAATTCACTCAAAAATAAATCTAAAAGAAATTTTCGCAACTTGGATTAATTATTGAGAACATTTCAAAAACATTGTGTCCTTTTAGTGCTGATTGTGTTAGTTGGCTTTTAGTCGGGTTTACCTGTATTGTTTAGTCACAGTTGTAACTTCGTTATGTTGAATGATACTTACATTCCATTTTAAAAAAAAAAGTGCTCCAACGGTGCCTCTATTGACTTAAATCTTAATTTTGTCGCCTTTTGAAATAATACACTAATTAATCACATTTCTTGATAATCTCAAATGGCAACGTCACCATCGACCAATAGGAACGCATCTACGAACTCAAATAAAGGTATTAATTTATTCTAGAGTAATGTTATTCATTCCTAGTGGGGTTACTAATACAGTCTATGTGACTCTAAATGATAAGTAAAATGAAAGGTGAAATTAAATTACTTATTTAATTTCACATATCATTTAATGCCACATTGACACCACCTAGACTGTGTTTGTAACCCCAGTAAGGGCTCTTAAATTTGAGGTCCCCACCATCTTTCTTATGTTTTTTTTTAATCAATATGGAATTCTATTTAAAAGTCCTCACAAATGGCGGAGGAAAATCGAGATTACATCAACGTCTAGGGTACGGTAATTCCCAACTATCCGTATACAAAATCCCTCTAAGTAATGGTGGAACCTCATCGCCAATAAACGGGTCAATAGCTGAACCATCGCTGCCCTTCTTTGCAAGGAAATCAGCCACCATATTAGCCTCTTGAAACACATGGTGAACCTGAGCATTTAGTACGCAGGTTAGTTCCGAAATTTCGTCCCAAAACTCCCATAACCACCATAGAGTGCAGGTGCCCTTTTAAAGCAATTATACCATGATTTTAGAATCTGTTTCAACAATAATGTTCCTAAGATTAAGCTCCCTGCACAGGCAAAGGCCATAAAGTAGGGCACAAGTTTCAGCTACCATGTTAGTGTAGGATCCATAATGGCGAGAAAAATCAGCCCATAAAATCCCCTTACTGTAGCATAAAACCCCTCCTCCACCGGCTGGACCTGGGTTACCTTTTGATGCGCCATCTATATTTAACTTAACTTGATCGCCGTCTGGTTTCTTCCAGCTGATAAGTTGCGCCCTGGCCTATTTTGCTTCAGTTATGGGACAATTTAAGGATCACAGACAAGAGACATCACGCTCAGAAATTTTTCGAACCTTGAGGATCAAAGTAGAGATCTGGGACAGCATAGTTTTGGTCTGCCAAATAGTTTTCTGCCAAGAGGTGGGGTGTCCTTCCATTCGGGTTTCACATCTCATTTTCCATAAATTCCATGTGATGATAAGTGGTGTGATGCCGCGTAGTAACCCACCTGTAAAGAATTGGAGAAGTGTTTACCCCATAAATTCATCATGCCTTTCCAAGTAATAACATGAGGAAGGGATATATTAAAATGGGATGCAAAATAAACCCAGACTTTCTTTGCCAATTCCCCTGTACATAATAGCTAATTAATGGTTTCCACCGAAGGTTGAGCACAACAGTCACATTTAGAGGCCAGAGGGATCCTAATATTTTGGACCACCTCATCTATTGGTAAACATTGTCGAAGGGCTCTCCATGAAACAAACGAAATTCTTTGAGGTACATGTTGTTGCCACAGCCTCTTTTCCATGGACAGGTTGTCCCCTTTTTTCGAATTAATTCCCACGCTGTTTTAGTAGAGAAAGAGCCGTCATTATTGGGCTTCCATATATATTGATCCTGGTTGTCATAGAGTTTAAAGTGCACACATTCAAGTGCAGAACCTTGATTTTCACCCATTAACTCCCTAAGGCGACTTCCAATCCACTTACCATTTACCCCCATCAGATCTTTGATTCTCAACTGTGGTTCCCTTACCTCCAAGCCTACTTCAACGAGACTTTGGGACCCCATCCAGTTATCATACCAGAAGTTACAAGATCCGTCTCGAACACGGCAAAATGTGTTTTGTAACACAATAGGCAAAACCGAGAGCACCCCCTTCTAAAAACGAGAATGAGGGGGTAACTTTTCAGCAAAGCCACAGGTTTGTTCTTCATATATTTAGATCGGAAATAATCAGCCCAAAAGGAATTCCCGACCATCAATTTCCATGCAAATCTCATAAATAATGCTTGTTACACCTCGCTAAAATCTCGAATACGGAAACCACCCTCTTCCTCAGGATAACAGATTTTCCTCCAGGCAACCCGTTTCCTTTTCTTAGAGCCATCAGCTGTATTCGAGAGAAAAGATGAGAAAATAGGGTTCAGTTCATTGTAAATACCTTTAGGCAAATTTATGACTGACAGCATATGGATAGACATACTACTCAGAACATGTTTGATCAAGGTAAATTTTCCCCCAAAAAGAGAAGTCGACCCTTTCAACCGGCTAGCTTCTTCTGTATTTTAGCCAACATACGTTCAAACATAATCTTCAACAATATTCCATTGTAGAGAAGGACAACCAGGTATGTACAAGGTAAGCCCCATTCTTTAAATCCCGAACCAGTCAATAATTTCTTTTTACGTATAGCAGTGGTATGTTTGGAAAAGAACATACAAGATTTCGAGGGATTTTCTTGTTGTCCTGTCATCATTTCATAACTTTTAAGAATATCAAGAAGATTAAAGATTGACTTTTTCCATCCATTGGCGAAGATAAGCAAATCATCAGCATAAAATAAATGACTAACCAAAATGCCTCCAGAGTTTAAATGTTGGACCTGATTTCTTTGAAAAGCTCGGTTGATCATTCTTGACAAGAGCTCTTGCCCCAAAATAAACAAATATGGTGTAAACCTCTTGATGGCTTGAATAGCTGGAGCCAAATTATCTGTATTCCAGAATGTTCACTTGGTTTGTTAGATGGTCCCATAGTTGCAGCCAAATCATCCACATTCCAGAAGGTTCATTAGTTAGTTAGTAGGAGGGGTAAAATGTAATAGGCTGTAGTAAGGATTGCCTATAAACAGAAAGGAAAAGAACGGGAAAGGCATGCAAAATATTGAGTATTGGTTTATCCAATTGGGAGACTACCAACTTCTCGAATTATTGAAATTTATCTTTCATTTTCAGTGTAATTCAATCATTAATTCAATATCAATTCCCAGTTGTTATTTTCATTTAATTGGGTTCCTATCAAAGTCCCTTCAAATATTCTACAATTTCCGATCCTCCCAGCTTTGAGCTTCCGTATACTATATCAACAAATGTTATTGGAACCTATCAATAGGTAAAAACCACAATTAGATGTCAATATAAATGCAATATTTCACCAATGGTAATTACACAATGAAATCCTTTAGCTTACTGAAAATCATGAGTAAAAATCCTAAGAGAAATATTCAAGCACTCGACAATCAAGCACAAGATTCTATTTATAGGCAAATGGTGGTTCATATAATATCTCGATGCTACAACATGAAAATTATTCACATGAGATTTTGCCATAAAATGCAGACAACAATAAGCCATCATTCTCTTTCCATCAGGAAAACTGCTGTAGAAGGATCTCAAAAGGTAAGAACTCATTTACAAGTTGCGAACTATTAAGAATCCAACTTCAGTAATGGCTAGGAAATAAATTTACCAAAAGACAGGTAATATTGAGTATTTTTGTACATGAAGAACAAGATTTATGCATGAATGAGCTCCTAGAGAATGGCAATCAATGATGAAATCGAAGTAAAGTAAAAATGATATGCATGCCCAACCAAGGAGTGCAGATGGAATTTCATCACAAGACTAGTATAGTAATCCGGTGTTATAGTAGGGGAGTGCACGATCATTGCTGAGCTATATATGCAAACTTTTAAGAGTTCTTGCTAGATCGAACCTACGATATTAGGCTCAACAGTCTTCAGTTTTGACACAATGAGTTCAAGACTGACATTTTTAGTTTGAGCACTATTACCAAAAGAATTCTTATTCGAGGAACCAATTATATTAAAAACAAGTGAAATGCTCCAAGTACAGGAGCATTTCCCTTACAGGGCTCACAGGCCCCTCATTCAGTGGGGCCCCCTACAGTGAGTGGCCTGTGAGCCCTGTACGGGAAATGCTCCTATACTTAGAGCATTTCCCTTTTTTATTTAAGCGGGTCCAACCCCCATGTGAGGGGGGTGTACACCCCGATGTACATTGTGATTTACAAGTAGTAAAACCATTTTTTTAACAGTAAATACTTTTAATCCTATCTTTGCCGATGTATCATAAATTTCATGCAGTAGTTTGAAGCCTAGTCATTCTCATAAAATTACCAAAGGTTTTCACAGTCAACTCAAATGATGAAGTAGCTATCTCATGTTGATAAGATGAAAAATATAGCATTCGTATAGAGAACCTTATCAAATATTGCAGATTACATATCACAACTACCACTTCTATGTGATAATCCTTTCTTGAGACCGAACAATCATTCCATCTGGTTATCAAAACCTTTACTCACACTAGAACTTATGACATCTTCAAGCACAGATTTCTGGTAAACACTTCAAACCCAACAATAATAATCAAAAGCTTGTTGGTGAAGTACAATGACATTAATTAATTGTTCCAGGAAAAAATAGAAATAAGATAAAATTTGATTGTACCAGAATGATCCAGTTAAGTCTAATACACCCGGCTAAAGAAAAGTCTGCACAAGGACACTTGTCCCTCTTCTTGTCAATTTAAACATAAGATTCCATCCATGCACACCATCACCTTTAACATAACGAGTTCCCGCGACTTTGTTCGTACCTGTTTCCATCTATTTCCTTAACTCAAGAAATATTCAGCCAGTAAGCATATTTAAAATACAAAGCTCAGAGAGTTTTCTGTAATCCTTCTTTCTTGATGAAGCTCCGCAGGTATTTTGGCTGCAGACAAACGTGAAATATAAACAAACATCTAATTAGATTAATTAAAAGAAGAGCAAACATTGCAAAATGGGCAAAAAGTAAAGAAGCGAAGTAAAATCACAAATGTTATCTGAAGTTGAAATGAATCATGTATGTCGTTAGACTAATCATCTAGTGATCTTAAATAGTATTAATCCGAAACCAGTTTTTCCTCTTGCTCAACCTACAATATCATATAATGAAATTGGACTGCGGAACCATTTTCTCATTTTTCATTTTAGAAGTACATGACACAGCAAATTGTATGTTGCACTTGAACTAAAATCATTTCCATGAGAAAACCATTGGTCACGGCGTAGATTAAAAATACAACTTCACAATGTTATATAACATAAAAGAGAATATCTCCTTTCCATTTGCAATTGATGATAATACTTACATAGTGTGATAAATCAGCATCCATTATAACAACAAAATTGCCCGAGGCATGCTTCAGACCATGCATATAAGCAGTCCCTGAAATGAAATCAACATTTAGGACAACTTCATTGTTATCATTCAAAATAAAGAAAGCCTAAATACACACATAAGCCGAGCTTCTTGGGTTGGGGTCTCAACAGCTGCAGTAAAAGAAAATCCACGAAAAAGTATAAAGCTAAGAGCTAAAAGCGCTAATCATCACACTCAACAATGAAGACAAGTTTAATTTGCTGAATCTTATGATGCGATTTTCCCCATATACTTGCTGCAATAGTTTGACAATGTACTAATTTCCATCAGGGCTCCCCATCATCCGTTTTCCCGAACAAATAGCTCAACATAGTTCTAATCATATTTATCCAAATATCTAAACAATAAGCCCACAATGGTAATGAAACTTCACGCTTCTAAATATGGGAATACCGAGTAATCACCAATTTAGAGAAGAAAAAAATTATTTTGGCTCTATAAACGGAATTTCTCAGTCAGGATATCGTTGCAATGATAAAAAGCATAATAAGAAGAGCGGAACCTACATGTACAATCCAAAGGGACAAACTTTAGCTAAATTTTAGCATGATGAAACCCAAATTTTAAAGGCAACCCCGAACCACTTGGCGATGAATGCACGTAATATACACCCTCATGAACAGGGGAGCTCAATCAGAACATTTGGGAGCTATATGGGCCCATGGCTTTGCCAATGGTTCTGATAAAATAGATCCATTTGGTAACAACACATGCATATCCTCATCTACCATTCTTTCCTTCTGCACACTCACAGCACCCAAAAAACCCAATTCTCATTTACAAAATCCGAAAAGAAATGACAAAAAAATTCAGGTAGATCAATAAAACACACCAAATATGTATGTAATGTATCGAATTCTCGCATACCTGAGGGGGCATGACAATAAACTATTGGGATTAAGGAATTTAGTCATCATGGACTTTGATTGTGAAGCTGCCATCAGTCCCAGAAACCCAACCCAGGTGGTAGAAATAGCGGTACAGCTCTGAAAAAGTACTTCATTAATTTCTTCGATTGTATGGCTTTCTAAATATGGCTGTGCTGGGGTGCACATTTTCACAACTCCGCTAATGGCAAGTGGGACTACTAATGCTGTAGCCATGATGGTGTATGTATAGATGTGTATCTATGTGTATGTCTGGTTGGTGTGGACACGGAATTGGTTATTAATTTTCATTACTTACATTGAAGATAAACTGAAATAACCAACAATGGCAACTAATTTTCATCTCATTAATATACAATTGTATTACAATGCAGGAAATTACAAGTGGAAGAACAAAATATAAAAGTGACTGAAATTACAATAGCATAGTGACTTGTAAATAGAAAGCCAAGGGAAGATGCAGGAAAAGGGGAAAGAGAAAGGGGAAGGAAAGATGCAGAAGAACAGAAAAGATGAAGAGAATTCAGAGGTGGAGAAATGAAAGAGAAGAAGAACAGATAAGGAGAAAAGGAAGCAGAAATAGAGAAAGAGAGCAGAAGAGAGGAAGAACAGAACAGCATAAGAAGAGGAGAAGAAGAACCGAAGAAGAAGAGACAGAAGCTGGAACCAGTGAAGAAGACTGGAGAAAAAGAAGGAGGAGGAGAAGACGGGAGGCATTGGCAACAACCACAATTCAATTCACCATCTTCATTCTTCCAGCTTCAACCCTTTATGAAACAAAACAGGGCTTTGGGCTAGCCCACTATACAAGCCCAACTAGATAATATAAGAATGGCCCAAGCCATGATATCCCTTCCCCTTAAATTAACCTTGTCCTCAAGGTTAAAGGTTTGGATGTCTTCTTTGTATGAAGTTAGCTGCCTCATTCTCTTTACCATCCTTGGATTGAGCAGGTAGTGCAAAATGTGTACGCTCGAACCAGGAAGTACTTTAAATACATCACCATGTTCAGGGGCGGACCCAGCACCTGGCCAGCCCCCGCGGCCGCCCGTGCTGGGTCCGCTAGAGCTTCTTCAGACTTCAGTAATTGCCGAGTCCGTCGGGAAGAAGAGGAAAGTGAAGATGCAGCACCGACTTTATGGAAATCACCAGATTTCTCTAGCTATAGAAATTGTGATATCCACCACCATACTAGAAGAATCAAGAATCAGCAGGAACCAACTTCAGCTTTCCAGTTTCCAGCCTCCACCGCCAATGCCATTGAAGGATTTGTCTAGAATCTTGTTGAAGGCTCCTCCACCGACAATAGCTTAGTATAGCATTTTGTGATGTGGTTAGAGAAAGTGTGCAAGAGAGAGAGACGGTATATATTTGTGCATGTGAAAGTGCATAGTGAGAAGAAGAGAGGCGTGAAAATGGTCAGTAGAGAGAAGAGAGAATGTGAAAGCAGAGAGAAGAAGAAAGGTGAGGAGAGAGAGACAAAGAATTGAAAAGTGAGGAATATAGTGCAGGAGAGAGAGACTGACGTGTGTGAAGTGAAAGTCCATTGAGTGGGTATTATTTTAATTAGTTGTGTGTGTTCAAAAACTTCAAGACAATAGATGGAACTCAGTTACATGAGGTATGTCACTAGCTTTATTTCTTGGAGCAAGTCCTTTCAAGTTTGTGAGTTGCCGATAGAAAGCATTTAAAAAAAAATTTGAAGTGAAAGGAATTAGCTCAGACCATTGGTTTTTACAGTTCATCGTAATATCATTTTGAGAACAAAACCATAATTTATGTGGTTTGAAGATCTTGTATTACTTTTGGACAACATATAGAGCTATTAGCTATTTCTGTAATTCTTTTTTTTCTCTTGCATTTTTGTTACGGTGCAAAAAAAATTAAATATTAATAAACGATCTCACTCTTACGATCGCTGATTGTCGACGTTGACCGGTTGGCGTTGACCGGTCAACGTCTGCCCGGGCTGGGATGGTGGGCTGGGTCCATCCTTGACCATGTTGAATTAGTTAGGTATTAATTTCTCTTTCTCCAACACTTTTTCCACCTTTGTGGACTGAATGAATACCATCAGTTTTTTCTGCAAGCATCATTTCTGCCCTAACGTGCACTTCATCATTCTTATCAGAAGCAGGTTCACCTCCATCTTCATAGTCATCTTCACTTTCACCTTCATTATCTTCATCTGACTCTTCATCATCATTATCAACATGCTTAACGGTATCACTCTCAGATTCACTATCAGTCTCTCTAGTAAACTCTTCAAGCAATTCACCATTTTCCTCTATGCCATTTGCACGGATTTGTCTATTCACAGATAGAGCACCAGATGAAGTCCTCCTATGAGGCTTTTCTGTATTTGACTGCTTATCATTGTGAGCCTTCTCAAATGAAATGCCACACTCATGTTCTTCAAGTCCAATTAGTGCAACATGAACTTCTTCACCTCCTTGACCTCCTTGTCCCTCTTCATGTTCAGACTCTGGTACTTTATCCACTTAAGGCTCATTCTCCTCACCTTCCTGATGTTCTTTCATTGTTCCTAGCTGCATTATCTTGGTATCTGATTCTGTTACTTCCTTTCCCGTCATTTCTGAAAACTTCCTACAAAGTTCCTTTGAGAATAAATTCCAATCTGGCCTAGGGTGATTTGCAATGAATCCATAAAACCATATGTAAGCCTTCCCTTTCAAATGCATCTCTGTAATTCTCAATCTAAGTTCATCAGGAGTTTGATGAAGTTGGAAATATTTCATTGCTTTCCTTAGCCATTCCCTAGGACTTTCTCCCTCAGACTGAGGGAAATCAGGGAAATCGATTTTTTGAGACTTAGTATCCCCCCTATTACATCCATTAACATTGTTACCCAACTCGTGGACACTAGATCCTTGAAATGACAATACACTACTGGATCTCATGTTATTCATGGATCCTTCAACACACTTATTCTCCTGTTCATTTTCAAAATCACCAGTCATTTGGGTCATTATATTCACTAATTTTTCATAATTTCGATTCATGTCTAATAAAGCATCCTGAATTTTATCTTGCCTATGACAAAGTACCTGAAGTGTTTGCTCTGAGGAATCCATTATGGCCTCCAGTTTGCTGGTAACGACTTTGAAGGTCTTACCCAGATCAGCAGTCCCCTATATGAAACAGGGGAGGCGTTGGCAACAACCACTATTCAATTCACGATCTTCATTTTTCCAGCCTCAACCCTACATGAAACAAAACAGGGCTTTGAGCTAGCTCACTATACAAGCCCAACTAGATAATATAAGAATGGAAAAATTCATAAATAAGGTGTTTAGTTTACACCAATTCAAAAATGATGTTTATAGTTTGAAAATTCAAAAATCGGGGTTTTTTTTTTTAATTTCTAATAGTAATATAATATAATAAACTCACCCCACATGCATCACCCCTACCACTCCGGGGACTATTCCGGCGACCATTTCGGCGACCACTCTTCTCCGGCGACTATTCCGACAATCATTCCAGTCACAAATTTATAATTGAATTAGTNTGGTCACAGATTTCAAAATTAGTTAGTCACATATCAAAATTTATAGGTCACACGGTCACAGATTTCCAAATTAGTTGGTACAGATTTTTTACGGTCACAGATTTCAAAAATTTAAGGTCACGATTCAAAAATTTTATAGGTCACAGTTCGTTTATCGATCGCAAATTAAAAATTTTAAAGTCACAAATTGTTCATCGGTCACAAAAAACAAAATTTATAAGTCACACAACTTATTTTATGGTCATAAAACATAAATTATAGGTCACAAATTACTTTTATTGGTCACAAATTAACAAATTTGTAGGTCACACAATATTTATTGATCACAATTTATTCTTTATTGGTCACATACCAACCAATTTATTGGTTACAATCAACAAACCATATGTGACCACCACCAACACAGCACCACCGTCGTCTCCACCTCCAACACCATAGAAACATATCACCGCCACCGCAAACGCCCCAGCAACCACCACCGTCGCCCACCCAATGAAAATGACCTCACCGCCACCACCAGAAAAAGACCTCGACACCACCAGCACCATCCCCCAACAACCACCACCACCAACCAATGAAAATGACCACAGCCACCGCCGACCACCAACAACTGCCACCTGCACAACACTACCAAAACCACCACAACCGCCACCTGCACCACACGACCACCACACCATCGCCTACACCGCACCACCAACAAAAATATCGCATTGGCCACCTGCAATGCAACAAAAATCAACCACCATAATCACTGCCTACACCACGCCACCAACAAAAATCACCGTCGCCACAACACCACAACCATCTACAACAACAACAAAAAGGACCACCACCACACAACCACCGCCTGCACCACACCACAACCAAAAAACCCCCAAAACCATTACCTGTAGGAGGCAGTTGTGTGGTGGTGCAGCATCGGCACCAGTTGGCACAAGTCGACGATTGACTCAAAAAAATCCCCAAAAACCCCTCCCCACTGCTGCAATTCGCGATTCTACAGCGTGCGATTCTGGTGGTTGGCTTTTCTGCTGCTGCTGCGATTCGCGATTCTACAGCATCTGCTGCTGCGAATCGCACTGCTGCGATTCGTGAATCGCAGCAGCGTCGCTGTGATGCTGCTGCGATTCGCTGCGGAGGGGAGGGGAGGGGGGGAGGCGGGAAAGAGAGAAAGGCGAGGGGAGGAGAGGGGAGGCGAGAAAGAGATGGGAGAGGAGAGGGGGTGGAGAGTGAAAAATTAGGGTTAGGTTTCTTATATATCACCTGATTTTTGAAGAATGAAATTTAGTCCCTGATTTTTGAATTTGAAACTTTAAAGACCTGGTTTAGTGTAAGTTTCCCATATAAGAATGGCCCAAGCCATGACATAAGATTCCATTAACTCATTCGCGGCCTTAACCAGCGTCACAATTTTAACCACCTAAAATCCAAAAATAAAAGAAACCAGTAAGATTCACAGAGAAAAACCATTATTCATAGTTGATGTTGATATATAAACAAATACATAGGGTTGAAAGAAAAGTTACAGTGACGGTGATGCCATCATCATGAAGAATCAAACAAGCATAGGTGCAAGTGAGTTGTCCGAACGTCATTTTCCTTCTGCAATTCTAATTTACAGAAGAATGAAGTCTTATGAAGAAAATGGAAATGATTACGACTATGAACATATAAAAATTGGACAAAACATCCAAACAATTGGAGAGAATAGGAAAAATCTAACGAAAATGGAGGATTTGCCTTTGGAGTCGGAGAAAGTACGGCTGCGAGTTTTAGGATTACGGTGTAGATGAGGTTTGAGAAGGTTGGTTGTTCTTGAATGATTGAATCTATTTAGGGCAGCTTAAAAGGAAACAAAAAATTAATTGGAGGTTGTGTCAACCTTTTTTAAATGACTAGTGAGGCATACGTACGTTGCACATTAGTTGGTTAAAGCAACCATTGTACTATAAATGTTCTAATATTGAAATATGAAAAATTCTATCATAATGATTCTTCAATAAGAAAGAGAGAAATCCTTATCTAGCTTGCAAACAATTGAATCAGGTTAAAATGTTAGAAACATTTAGAGCAATCATAAGAATCTATTTTGAAAATGTTCTTTTCTTATGAATTAGAAGCTGTACAAATTACACAATAGAGATAAGTGGACACAAACATCAACCAAAAATATAATGAAGACCAAAAACCATCACACTATTTCATATAACTAACCAGAATATCAAATTCTGAATGTAGAATAGTTATGGAGCCAAACTACAACGTCGAAAATGTAGAGATTAATCACCCTTAACACCTTGCCTATTGAATCATTTGCTCCAGCGAAGATGTTGTCTAGCTTTACCTTTCGAAGCTTCCTAAAAATTGACACGTTCATATAAAAGAAGAAAAAAAATTAATTGACAGTGAACTGAAAGTTACAAAGAAACATCGCGTAATAGTAATACGTACCTTCATTAGGATTATGTAGTGTTTGGCAAAATTTTGCTTGCTCTTGGTCTCTGAGGCTTACTTGATTTCTTTCAATGTGTTTTAGAGGAGTTAAAGAAAGGCTAAAAGGGAAATTTAGAGAATGATGATTCAGATGTTCATACAATTCTTTAGCCTCGAGTATTTGCCTCCCATTGTTTGTTCTCATAAATGCAGAAGAGCCAGTTAACTTCTGAGAGAGATTCCCAAAGCGGGTACTTTCGGCTGTGGCAAAGGCTATATTTAAACCATCTTGATGAGAGTGGGAGAGTTGTCCAATTTTTACTTGCATCCGTAATCTTTGCCAACTGCAGAAGCCTCTCAGAACCAAAATTATCATTATCCTTTCGATTTTCAACAACCATGGAATAAATAGCTCCAGTACCATTTGTGACGAATGTAGCATTAGGAATCTCGTCACCATGGATCTGTTGGAATGTTTTACAATTATATAAGAACAACAATATGGCTCTTGAAAATAAAATTTGAAATGTGTTACAATGCACTAAAGAATGATATTAGAATAGGGGATGAGATTGAAATCCAGAAAATTCAAGGGATAGAAGGATGCAAACATGTGATCTAATATTTAACTTGCCATCCACATAAATGATCTATATGTGAGTGAGGAGCAATGTTATTGACTATGCTAAGCATAGTCTACAAGCTAAAGCAAATTTAGCTAAGCTGAAAAGCTAAGTAAATTTTTTTGCCAAACATCTTTGAGGTTTTCAAACTGCCTTTTTTTTTTTAGTTTCAAGTAGGAAATCAATTTTACTTTTTCTGGACAATAACTTTATTTTTCTGAAGCTTTGTCAAAGAAGCTGTCATTCAACTTCCAACATGTTATCTTTTTCTGACTTTCAATTATATTATTATCAACTAAATTGTATTACTTTATAAAAATAAATGCATGAAATACAGAAAGAAATGCATGGCCTACAGAAAAGTAATCCTCTAATTCGCACATGCATAGCATCATTGGAAAATAATTCTTGTTGGTCGCAAATTGAAATGACTAAATTACCTGCATTGATCACACGGAATGAATTTCTGAAATCTTTTAACACAATTTATGCACCCCATACCTCTAAAATCCATGTACTCATGTGAATGTCTCCAAGCAATGCATACACAATGGATACCCTGCCGCAACAAATTCAACCGAGTCAAGATGGGAAGAAACTAAAGTAGAAAAGGTGACGATTTGAAAATATTATTTCCTTCCCGCACATGGCATATTGTCTCTAACCAGATTCATCTAGGTGGAATGTTTTGCAGTAAAATTAATTTTCATAAGCCAATCTGGAATCCAGACAACCTCAAGTCAAGCAAGGAATGAAAAATTGCATTTGCTAAGTCAGATGGAAAACCATCCATGTTATCTGGGCCAAATGTATCTTTATTCTCCACATTAGGATAAACTTCCTGTAACGTAAAATTGCAATTTGCAATGAATGAAAAATCCAAGATAAAAGAAATTTGAAAATCTACACAATAATAAGTTAAACCTATAACTGTAAAAAAAGTTCTAGCTTGGTCATCTATTTTGCCTTCACCCATCACAAATGCTTTGAATGTCAAAGTAATACAAAAGCAGTATAAAAAATTATTTGAAGAATCCAAACATAGAGGTTTGAAAGAGCAAAGAGAAACCTTTATATTTGCCCACAAGTAAAATCTTGCACACCTCCTATAAATTGATCAAATACCAACACTTCCTATGAACCCTTGTTGGGTACAAATGGATAATTATCTTCATCTTCATCTTCATTCCAATTCTCAAGTTTAAGTCTCATCCACCCAACAAAAAAGATTATGTATAGTTAACCAAATTCACATTTGCAAAAGCAAACAACTCCATTGAATACTCTGTATGGAAGCTTAGAATTGGGATGCCACATAATTAAACTTTAAATTTAAATTTACAAGACTACTGGCTTCGTTGATGGAAATTCGAGTGTATTAATTAAATATATAAACAAAGAGTAAATACATAATCATATAACTAATGATAAAACTTCAGAGTAAACAACATTTTTGGTACATTTAGCGTGGATTTTATCATCAAATATTGGTTTGGCAACAACTTTAATACATCTACTCTTTTTTGCTCTCGATAACGCAACATATAACTGTCCATGTGAAAATACGAGTTGTGGGAGATATATTCCAACATATTCTAAAGTTTGTCCCTGAGATTTGTTTATAGTCATTGCAAAATATGTACGTATTGGAAATTCTGTTCTCTTAAATGGAAATACAGTTTTATTGGAATCAAGCGGAATAAAAGTGATATGAGGTAAAAAGACTTTATTGTCACTATACTTTTCGGTAGCAATTTCTGCCTGAATGACATTCCGTTCTAAATTTTTGCATACCAATCTCATTCCATTACACAATCCTTCTATGGTATTAATATTCCGAAGTAATATTATAGGACAATCAATTTTCAGCACGAATTCATGTGGTGGTATACCATTTTGGGTTAAAGAATTGAAAAAAATCTTCTCGCATGTATTGTTCAGTTGTATCTAATGATTCGTCAAAGCTATGATAAGTAATAGCATCACCTGGGAAACGTTCTATTAGAATACTATTCATGTCATCAACATGCTCATTTTTTGGGGCTAAAATAACTCAATTAATCATATGTTGGAGGTTATTTGAATAGTCGCTTATTTTAGGAAATACAACATCAATTAATTTATGTAATGAATTGTTGTCTTCTTCATAATCTAATGTTATATCAGACAAAAGTTTAATCATGCTACAAGAATGTTGTTTTTCTGTTCCATTGCCAATCTGAAGTAAATATTCACAAAAAAGAGGATCTAAGAGAGCTCACATATTTTGAACTAATTTTACTTTTGTAAAAAGAGGCCACAGATAAGAATTAACAAAACTTGACGCAATTATCTCATCCTTGCTCCCTCGTTGGACAACGGGTAAAATTTGACGAAAATTCCCACCTAAAACGATTACTTTTCCACCAAATGGCAATTCAATATCACGTATATCTCTTAACATTTTGTCTAAAGCTTCTACAGCTCGATAATTTATCATTGGAACCTCATCCCATATGATTACCAGTGTCATCCTAAACAAATCAGCTAGAGCAGATTGCTTACTTACAGAACGTATACTATCATTATGAACATGAAGTGGAATTTTAAACCTTGAATGTGATGTTCAATCCCCAAGTAATAAACCAGCAGCAACTCCTGAAGATGCAGTTGCTAAAGCAACTAAGTTTCTTGATCTAACAGCTATAAGCAATGCACGATATAAAAAGGTTTTCCCTATTCCACTTGGACCATCAACAAAATACATATGACCAACATTATCAAAAATTTACTTAAGATTACATCATAAGCAGCTCTTTGCTCTTGGTTAAGGGTACCTGCATATGAAAGATCAACTTCAAATATTATTATTCCTAATTCTTCATTAACCATTCTTTCTAATATTTCGTCTTGTTGGACATTGATATCATAAATAGCTAACCCATAGTCACTCAAAGATTTGCCAAGTGGTTCTAAAAATGAATTTATAGACTGTAATTTTTTAGTTCTGCATCATGTAAAATCATATTCTTCCATAAATAATCTTCAAACATGAATTCTTTAAACTGATCCCACAATTTTTTTGGGTCATCGGGACAACAAAATGCTAAAATAGTTGCAAACAAGCGACGTAACGACTTCGGCGTCTGATAATTACAACTTCTTGCAAGCATAACTCACAATTATTATCCCATCTAAGCAAACCTCGTAATAATGCAGCCTCACGAAAAGTTTTTACAGAAACTCCATTAACAAATTTTAGATCTTCAAAAGATAACGGTCCCCTAACATGATTTAACAACATTCGCAAGTAATATCTTTCACCTTCATGAGGACATGTGCCACAATCCTTCCAACCACAGAACCGTTCTTTCTTTTTCTAATAGTCCAACACTTACGCTATGCATCCCATACAAAATGTTCAAGAAATTCTTTATATAACAGTTTTCTTGCTTCTTCATTTGTAGCGTTTATTTAAAGAATTCAGTTAGCATTGATTTTTGAAAAAAATCTCGTTGAATAACTTTGGGAAGATTGTCAGTATTTTTATATGTAACTAATTGCTTATTTTCTACATGTAACTGTAATGAAATAACAGCTGGACTCATTTTACACATAGTAAATCCATAAATCCTCCAGATTGCTTCAGGAGGAGAGATCCAATAAATTATTAAAAAAAATAAAAATAAAATAAAATAATCCTCTTCTCCTTCACCTTCACCTTCACCTTCACCTTCACCTTCCACTACCTACATCCTCTTCCCACCGCCATAGCCATCACCAGTGGTTCCAGATCTAATCCAACAAGAACTCGAACCCATTTTAAAGGGGCCCATTTCATCAGTTTTCTTGTAGGGTTAAATTGATTCAAATTCAAGAAACTATCAACAAAATGGCAACAAATTATTACTCAAGGGTGTTTTGGAAATGATAACGATTTGGTGCAAAAACATGCCGATAATATGGAGGTCACAGCTTCTTTACAGGACGGCAATTTAGCAAGCGCTAACACGTTGACATGATGAGATATTACAAATTTGCAAATGTTTCAACTAAAACTAGTTCTTTGTTGGCAATTAGGCGTTCAAAGTTTGAGCCGAATACCATTGCTGAGGTGAGACCATTAATGAGAGCATAGTTGCTAAAGATTCTAGGGTCCACAGGGGCGGAGCCAGGATTTCATTGTACGGGGAGCTAAAATTTTTAAAATGTAATGTACAAATAAAATTTATATATAATTAATAAATTTATTTATTTATTTATTTTTGGGTTGGCAATGCACGGAAATATCCAATTCTAGATATGACATATCCATGCATGGAAACCATGCTATGCATTACCCCTAGACAGGTTGTGTCACATAGATATGCCAAGCTTTTGCTACTAAATATCAATATTTATTTTTCCCTTTCTGAACTCTAATAAATGCCCATCTATAAGATGGTAGTGAGATGGAATTGGAAAGAAATGCCAATTTCTACATAAGCCTTGTTTCTAAAGAATTTACCCCAAACCAGCCAGATACACTTGATTCCTAACCCACTTACCATGTGATTGATCACAAGCCAAACAATCACAATTAAAAAGGAGAATGTAATGCTATTTGCTTTATTATGGGTATTAACTGCCTAGATCTGATTCATGAACAATGGAAAAATACTTATAATTTCCCACTTAAACATGCTTTAGAATTCTGGAATGAAAGAGGTTTGAGTGATTCTAAAGTTCAAGCAGAAGAATATCGAAGCATAGCTGTATGCATGTCCAAAAATCCCAATTCAAAAGTTAGAGAACAATCCTGCATTGACCAAATTTACTTCACAAATATGCAATAGGTAATTCTATCCTGAAGTGGCAAAACAATTACAAGAAGAGAATTGATTTCCAACAATAGAGCACCTAATATAGAAGACAGTAAATGATCTATTTCCATGATTTCAAACTAAAAATAAACATATTATAAAGACTTTAGCCAAAACCTCGGGTATGACCAGGAGTTGCCATCACGAGCACTTTGTGGCTTGCAAACATCCATTTATCCCCATCATCCAAAGACATATCAATCCCAGGGATACTCTCCTTGTCTAAACTCGATCCAATGACCTACAAGAATGTATAGAAGGTTGAAAGATCAGTAGAAAGATCTAAAAATTAAATTGTGGAAAATGTAAAAGTAACTGAATACGTATATGCACTATCTCATTGTAACATCGATTACAATGAAAATCTTAATTCCTATTATTAAGCAAAAAAAAAAAAAAAAAAACAGCTTTATGTTTATCATTTGGCTATCCATTGCCTTTTTTATTGTGGAAGGGATGAGATATCAGGTCCCTGAAGAGTCAACACGTCAATTCCATCTCTATGCTCTAATTAATTAATAACTTTGATAAAAATAATTAAAGTTAAGCAACACTTAAAAATAATTAGAGCTAAGCACACAGCACACATCAATCCTTATCCCTTGATTCCCAAAATCCCATCTCTATTCTCAAGTGCTGAAGTGCAACGGTCTAACATATATTTCCTTGAATGAATCCCTTGATTCCCCTCATACATCCATAAATTTGCACGTCAAAGACTCAGTTTTCAATTTTAACTTTTAACCTTCTATATATTTCTTTGTATTAAAAGAAAAACAAAGAAAATAATTAATTACTGACCTCAAGGCAGTAAGGCACATTCAAACACACAAATTCAACCTGTTACAAATTCAATTCCCACATTCAAACATACAAATTCAATCCCCACAACCACATTCAAACACACAAAGACACCACACATTTTTTTTTTGGTTCAAAGGCTGGGCTTAGGCAAGAGTGGGTTGCTAGGACAATTGGGCTTTAACCAAAAAAAATTTTCAGAGGCTGGGCTTGGGGCAAGGGTGAGCTACATACAGCCCACCCCTATCTCCGCCCATGGGGGTCCAAGTCATAGATGTGCCCGTTGACTGTTCGGCTCTTAATGCTTCATCTCATCAAAGACACGAACCAAACAGCGTCTTCGATTATCTGAAAGCTCCATCCGTGGGGGAAGAACTGGATGTTGTACACACTTCTTGTAGGGGCACTACTCAATAACTGGATCTTTTCCTAAGAGATCTGTGATTAATCGTCAAAAAATAGATGGGGAGTTTCATGGATATGGAATCTTTTTGGGGAGAAGTGAAAAATAACCACTAGATGATGACATTGATGGTAGGCAGGAAACTAAAACACCTAAGGAATGGACTCCTATAGTGGTTACCCAGCCTAATGGCGGTTTGCCCATTTCCAACTCAAATGGAAAACCAGCATACTTCAGTATAGCCAAATTCTTCACATAATGAGCATGTATTTCATCATTTTTCTTGTTTATTCGATCTAGAACCACCGCGGGCGGCAGAGGAGGAGCTGATGGTGGTGGGAAGAGGAAGGGGATGATGATGAGGGTGAGAAATTCATTTTTTAAATTCAATTTTAATTTTTTAATAATTTATTTGGGCCTGTTAGTACTTTTTTAAAAAGGAATAAACCATGTATACAGAAAAAAATTTCACAGATGTTTTACACTCACTCACATGTGTGGGGCCCATCGAAAATAAAAAATGAAAAAAAAAAACCACTCCTTCCTGCGTTTGTGAGAGTCTGTAAAGCCAACCACCCCCCACCCCTTCTGTAAGTGTAGAATGTTCTTTTAAAAATTTTGAAGTAATAGTTGAAATTAATTTATTATTTTTTTTCTTCCCTTTTTTTATCTTATTTAAATAGAATGATAAATTTGTTATTTTATAAGGGAATATTCTACACTAAACATTTCAAACAAAGATGTTTTGGACTATTTCCAAAAGATAAGAGGGTTTTTGCCAATTTGTTCAATAAGTAGGAGAGTTTTGTGTTGTTTAGCTATGGTCAAAAATATTTGAGGTTGAATTATATTAAGTGTACGTTTAATGGATTACATTATGGTGTACATTGTGTGCAAATTCAAAAAATGTTGATCGAAAAAGTGTATTGTTTTAAAAAACTATCCTACGATTTAATCAACCCCTCGAAGCCAGGTAAGTCCCACCGAATGTGTATATAAAAAGTGGGTAATAAGTTGTGGGTGCATAGATTGTGGATGAAAAATGTTTTCAACTAGCTTAGCCAAACATGCACTTAGTTTATAATTTGATAGCATCTATGCTTTGTTGAATCGTTTAACAACCCTGTTGTTGTATAATTTAAGATGAACTTGTTAGAATTGTTAATCAATTTTGTTTTGTGGTTGTGGAAAACAATGGACAAAGAGGTATATATCTCTGTTGACATACAAAATGTGTAGCCCAAATTAGATAGCCCAAGGAATGAAGTGCAGTTAGAAAGTCCAGGATAAATGCCCAAATAGCACCATTAATAAATGCAGTGAAGGCCCACAAACAAAGTAACATCATCGCCCAAGCTTGCAAGACGCTCAAAATCTGAATGAATGAAGTGCCTTACAGTCACCCAGAGCAACGAACCCGTTCTCACCCAAACCCTCTAGTCACCCAAGAATTGAGCGAATCTAAGGTATTATGGTTATCCAATACGGCAGTTATCGAAACAGTTATTGAGCAACCTTATCACACCCCACGATCCAAGGATCCCAATTGTAGGTGGTTGAAACGACAAGAGTAGTGGCAACAGTTAGAGACAGTAGTTCCACGACAAGTCAGCGACCATGAAGAAAGTGAGTAGTTATAGAGCAATCAAGCAGTTTCCAAGCGATTTGTCACAAAGAAATTGTTAAGGGAGTATAAAAAAAGAAGAGAAGACATAGAGAAAATGACCTCGAATCAAACATTCTCAAACAGAGAATATGTAATTTCAATTTCTTAGTTTAACTTTAAATCATCTCTTTTTAGTACTCGTGTGCTTGCGCTCCTTGGAGGCATTCTGTTTATTTTCAATTGTAACCTTCATCAATAAAACACTCATTTTTGGGACTTTGTCTCAATAGGTTTGTTCCTTACACAATCCTTTGAACCCTTTTTAACTGTTAGCGACAAACTCACGCGAAACAATTTAGCACGTCCAGTAGGACAATTGGTATTTGGTGTTTGAAGATACAAAAAAGTAAAACATAATGCCTCATAAGAATTCTGATAAGGAACCAGCAAGTTAGAGAGTAGTCCAGTCTGTAATTGAGTGATATAAGGAGCAGCAAAACTCTCCACGAACAGAGGGACAGAGTTAGAGCAGCCACAGTCGTTATGAACTAATGACAGAATTGAGTCCTCGAATCATGCGTGCATTGCTTGGGGAACTCACGCAGGATGTTGTTGAACAGGTAAATTTATGAAATATTCATAATATGGAAAGATTTACCCAAAATAGGAATGTACATTATGACAACATGGCCAAACAACTGAATAAATTAAATGAAATAATGAATAAGTTAGTAGGACAAATGTGTCAGCCAGTTATGCCTATTGCAAACCACTTTCAAACCATGACGATTGTGGGGCATAATTCACCACATAATTCTCCTGGTTTGAACTTAAATCAAGAATTAGAACCACCCTTTGGTCCGTCTACTTCAAATCAAGGGGGTAATGGAACGTCAAACTTGAATGGTGGTAATGAGATTACAAACCTGGGGGTAATCCAGATATAAGGGACAATGTCTTGAATTATGGACTGAACGTCCCGCATATTAATGATGGAGTAAATACTTATGCCAACGGTAATAATGGCCCAAACAATGGCAATTTCGTTGCCAACCAAAGACCAAATATTAGGCCTCAAGCAAATCAACCAGTAAACCAACTTGTAGGAATCCCATATATGATCTCAATGTCATGTTAAGGAATCAAATC